TGGGACCCCACTTCCCACGTCCTTCCAGGTCGAGAAGGACCCATCCACTACCACCCTCTGGGTGCAACTCTCTAACCAGTTGGCGACCCATTGGACTGTATGGGTGTCTACGCCACAGTCCCCCAGCTTCCTAATGAGAATGGGGTGAGAGACAGTATCAAAAGCCTTCCTGAAATCTAGGAAAACTATATCCACTGCCACCCCTGCATCCAATGATTTAGTGACCTGGTCGTAAAAGGCCACCAGGTTGGTCTGACAGGACCTGCCGCTGACGAACCCATGCTGGTTGCCCCTGAGTAATTTTAGTAAGTGGAACTAAAATTATTTCATGGCTAAAATGATAATTGGGACAAAAATTGCCTATGATAAGAAAACTAAAAATAAAGCATAATACTACTGATAACTATAATTATTTTAATCAACTAAACTTAACACTGCTGGCTTCATAGGACAGGGCTCTGCCCATATGTGTAGTATGCATGGAAGGCTGGATCAGATGAATACTGAGATAACTGCCATGTCATCTGAGGATTTGACCCCCTGTGACACTGCTCTGCTCTGCCATTTAGAACCCAAGGCAGGCATCAAGCATATGCTTTGCATCTGACTGCCTAGGGTGCTAATGTAAAATGCCTGAACAAGATGGGCAAAAAGCAGGAACAAGCCTGGAACCAATGTTTATGGGGCTCCCTTGGGTGGTGGCGAAGACAGTGAGCCCTGGGCCTTGTCTATACTGCATCTCCACAGCGCCTAGCCCAGAAAATGCATCCCTTGCTCCCATGTGGGAGTCCACGTGGCACCCACTGAAGTCAGTTTCTCATCAAAAAACTCAAAGGATATTCCTCCTGCTTTCCGTGTGAGGATCAAGGACAGTGTCTAACCTCAGATCATCATGCTGTCTAGCAGTTTGGGGTCTTCAAGGAGCAGTATTTCAGCATGGCATGTTGTTGAGGAATGAGCTGTGTAGCTTGGGGCATTTATGCCTAGGGCCAGATCCTGCTTCTACCAAAAATCATGAGAGTTTTGCCATTGATTCCATAGAAGCAGGCTCTTACATGTCAACTTATATGTGTTATTGTTTGGTAATGAGAAAATTAAATACAAATGATGAATGCTTGAGATGAACAGGGTGCTTTTCATCTTTAAAATGCAAGCCAATTAATCCTGAGAGCATCCTGTTAAGCAGAAAAAATAACATATCTATTTCCATATTAGACTAAGGACTCAGGAAAGAGCAAAATAATCATAGTGACTGGCCTGAAGCCTACACAAGGATCCTGTGGCAGACCTAGATTTGGGAGTGAGGTATCCCAGGCCTTTAATTCTGTGCATAATTCACCTTGCCCACAACCAAAATTAAGCTCATACAAGTTGTACAGTGCTATTGCTTCTATATAGGAAATTGCAAAATCCAAAATGATATGCCAGTTATAAAAAAGAGAGAGATAAATGATTGACTTTTCAAATGCACAGCAAGAAGCTAGCTAATCCACAGGATATTGGTACATCACCAAGAAAGAGTCTTTCCATTGACTTCAGTAGACTTTGGATTAGGTCTAGTATAGAAAGCAAAGGCTCATCCACTTAGTGGAGAGAGCCAGAATGAGCATATGACAGCTGTGTGTAATGTCCTGCCCTGACTCCTATCTATTTTCATGGTGTTTGTTATAGCCTCTAAAACTGGATAAAGTGGGCATGTTTTACTACTGAATTCTGGCTTGAAAAGTAGTAAAGTCTTCAGAGATATCCCCTATATAAAAATGTGAAGTACCACTGGAGATAATAATATCACCAGAACAGGAATGGTTTTGTAAGGCCAATCACTATACAGTTTGACAGCTAGCTAGCAAAGGCTGTAATTCTTACCATGTGTGCATCCCCAGGAATGGCTACATGGCACAATGCTGTGCTGTGCAGATAACCAAGCAACTCTGACCAACTAGAAAGCCTACTTGCTTCAGGTTTTCCCAACTCACCCTCAAACAAATCATGTACCCTTGACAAAAGATAGGAATGTGCACAGCCCCCCTATCCAGACAATCCTTTCACTGACCTAGGTAATAGTCTCCTTTCTGTCCTCACCCAATTCTCTGTTTATAGTCATTTTTGTAGCTCCAGGCCCCTGACTGTCAATGGACACCTCCTAAATTATTCAGCAAGCTGAATATCCTCGTACATTTTCAATGAGTCATGATCCTGTTCCAGCAAAGTCAATGGCAAAGGATCTATCAATCTCAGAGAATGCAAGGGAATTACTCCTTCCTGAACTACCTCCAATATGGTCATCATTTATGATGCCCAAAAAGTCCAAGATCCCCAACCTCTCCAAAAACGAAGGACCATTTTCAAGATCAGTCATTCATGCATATTTGAAATATGAAGGGGCATTTGGTCAAGGTTACGCCAGCAGTATTTCACTTGGGATGCTACTCTTGTATCTTAGATTTTCAGTGTCAGATCTGAGCGCAAGGTGGAGTTTTCTCTCCCTGTGTTTTATTAGACAGGCTAAATACTGTCCTGTTTTAATCTCATAAGATTTCAGGCTAGCATATTTAATTAGGACAACATACTTTAGCTCAGTTTTCACACATATAGCACTCTTCTAGCTCTTCTTTTACCTGATAGAACATTTTATAAACTATGAAGAGCACTAGTTCAGAGAGAAAACAAGAAAGCCTTAAGCTACACATAAAAAGAACAATTTTCAATAGAGAGACCTGCCCAGCTAACCAGAATAAATACCCATATCTGAAAACAGGCCAGACATCATGCATATCTTGTCCAAAACTCAGCATTCAGAGACTTTTTAAAGTGATTTTAAAAACTGAACTGAAAAACTGAACCAAATTTCTGTAACTATTTAAAGTTTATTCCTTTTTAAAAAAAACAACCCCCCCCCCCAAAGTATATTAACATTTTCCTCTTACACTTTGATCTTATAGGACAGTGGGGCAGGGCAAGTCGCCAACTAGGCATGCCACTCTAATCCCCTTCCCCTGACCAATCTGTTGCTTTGCTTTCTACTACTTGCCCTGTGATTTCTGCCAGATCTGCTGCTCTGCTTTCTGCTCCCCACCCTGTGTTACCTGCCTCATCTGCTGCTCTGTTTTCCACATCCTACCCTATCTTCCACTGTGCTGCCTGTCCCCTCCCCACATGCAGAGGCTGCTTGTGGCATTTGTGACGCACGTGCCATAGGCACCCTTATTATCGGGTGTTTCAATCCTGGGCCAACTTTCCATTGTTCTACTTGCAAATCTGCTAGGGTCAGCTTAATATCAGATGGACTGAGGATGGCTAGAGAGAAAATACCTGGGAGATAGAAAATTAACTTCAATGCTATTATTTGCACAGTATTATTACAGTGCTCTGGGGCCCCAACCAAACCCAGAGCCCCACTGTACAGGGCAGTATACCATTATCTAGAGGCAGTCCCTGCCCCCAAAGAACTTAGAAGCTAAGCAGACAAAACAATGGGAAGGAAAACAATTGCACAAAAAGGTTTGTTTTGAGATGACACAAAAGGTTACTAGCGAGCTAGGAAAAGTTCTCTCAGCAGTTATAAGGCATCTCTGGCACACCTGTAATTACCCTACACTTTGCAGCCAGTCGACTCAGAATGCTGCTGGTCGTCAGCTACCAACTCAGTTGCTGAATCATTACCGACACTTCTAAGCTCTGCACCGCATGGCTGCTGAGAAGACCAGGCTTGCTGCTAACTGCCACATGAGCCAAGAAAGTAGGTCAAAAATGGGGAGAAATGGTACAGACCCAGTAAACAATTGTCTTGAATTCAGAGGTTCTCGGGCACATGCACTGCATGGTATTTACTGACAGAGGCAAGGAAGGGGAGCACACAGGTGCCCTGAAACTCAGCTCGTCTAACATATGGACTCTTAGACCACCCCCAGACCACAGGCAGGATCCTCCCCAGCCCTTTGTGCTGCTCTGGTAATGCAAAGCCTCTCCCCATCCATGAGCCAACTGGAGGGCCCCTTCCAGAGTGGCACAGGGTAGCTGGCAGACCTAGCTTTGGAAGTCCTCCATGCCTGCCTGGATCCACATATAGAGAGGGAAGGAAAAAGCCAGACTAAGGGAAGGGCCCACCTTGTGGCCAGAGGCCTTGCCCCCCATCAGGAGTCTCACCCTGCCACCCACTGCACATGGCAGGATCCAGCAAGGGACAGTTGGATCCCTGGAGCCATCCCCAGGCAAGGAGGCCTCAGCTGGGGACAGGGCAGGGCAAAGCAGCAGCTGAAGTTTGCAGCTTTTTTGTGCCCTTGTTATCCCATTGTTTTGTCTGCTTAGCCTGCAAGTTCTTTGGGGCCAGGACTGCCTCTTACCTAGATAATGGTATAGTAAGTGACCTAACAGTGAGGCCACAGGTTTAGCACCATGTAATAATTCAAGACAGTTTTTTGGATGTTCACCATTTCCCCCCATCTTTTGATCTGCTCTGTTGGCTCACACGGCATTTAGCAGCGAGCGCCGTCTTCTTACCAGCAACTCGGTGCACAGCTTGAAAGTGTCTGTGAGAATTCAGAGTGATCAAGTCAGTAGATGACTACAGGAATGTGCTGACCCTACTGACTGCAAGCTGTAGGGTGATAACAGAGGTGTAAAACATGCCTTAGCACAGCTGGGAGGCCTCGTAAGCAGGGCACCAGGTTGGGAGTCAGGCCTATTTGATGTGCATTGGGAACGTGGGATAATACCCACCAAGTAAAACTAAAAGCCCTCCATTATATGGAGGCTACTAAATGCACATCAAGTCATTATGGGGGACAACTAAAGAACAAAACAAGGATGAGAGTGAAGGTCAAAGGTTCAAATTCACGGCAGAAGTGGGCTGCACTGCAGCTCCTTTAATCCTACAGGTTCCCCGTGAGCCCCCTCTACCCTCCTCCACTGATTGGTGGAGGGTCCCCATTTGTAGCTCACTCCTGATCTGCAGGGAAGCGAAAACCACAGTTTTAAACATGGCACCGTTTTTGCCTCCCCTCTCGTTAGCAGCAAGCAGCAGAGCCACTGGGACCCCTTGACCAATCAGCAGTGGGGAGGCAAACAAGGTGCCATGTTTAAAACCGTGGTTTTCGCTTCCCTGCTGATCAGGAGCAAGCTGCAAGCGGGGCCCCCCACCAATCAGTGGTGGGGGCAGTTGCAAGGGAACCCGCAAGATTAAGGGATCCCCAGTACAGCCCGTTTCCACCATGAATTCGATAGGGCCCTACTCATTGTCTACCAGCTCCCTTCTAAACTCGTCATTCCAACTGTGTCGATGACCCTCTCTTCTTTTTAATGGTCTTGATGTTTCACCCATGCAACTAGCCTTTGTTCTGCCACGCTGCTGCCTGTTCACTGCTCCTGGGCATGAAACTCCCATGCCACAGCCCTGCAGGTGGTTTTTAACTCATTCCAACGATGACCTATTTGCTTTGCTTCAGTTACAGAATCATAGAAAATGCGAGTAGGAAGGGACCTCAGGAGGCCACCTCGCCCAACCCCCTGCTCAAAGCAGGCCCGTCTCCAACTATCTCAGTCCAGCCACAGCTTCGCCTACCCAGGTCTTGAGCCGCTAAGGATGGAGGTTCCACAATGTCTCTGGGCAGCCTGTTCCAGGGCTTCCCTGCCCTCTTAGTGAGAGAGTTTTTCCTCGTCTCTAACCTCAACATCCCAGGCTGCAGCTTGAGACCTTTGCTTCTTGTCCTGTAACCCACCACCCCTTAGAAAAGTCACAGATAGAGTCACAGAGCAGTGAGACTGGAAGGGACCTCCAGAGGTCATCTAGTCCGGTGGTTCTCCACCTTTTTTGTACTAAGACCCATTTGTCAACATCGATGGCCAGTGCCGAACCAGTGCCCCTCACTCCCGACCTGCTGCCCCCAGGCCCCGGCCCCCCAGTGTGTGGGGTGGGGTGTGGGGCATGGGGGGGCCAAGCAGCCTTTTGGAGACTGGAGCTCTGCCAGCCTGCAAGGGAAAACCCACGGTTTCCCACGTTTCTCCTTTAAAGAAGAATCCATTTTTAAAGTTTGTTCGCAACCCTTTCATATATTCCTGTGGCCCACTTTTGGGTCGTGGCCCGCTGGTCGAGAAACGCTGATCTAGTCCAACCCCCTGCCTGAACCCCTAGTGAAACCATCCCATGCAAACCATCATCTAGACTCTACACAAGACAGCCTGGCTCCATCCTCTTGGTGACCAGCTGAAGGCTCCTATTAAATCCCCGCTCAGGCTCCTCTTCTCCAGACAAAACAAGCCCAGTTCCCTCAGCCTCTTCTGTCCCTTGAACCCTTTTCGCCACTGGACTCTTTGCAACGTGTCCCCATCCTTTCTGGAGTGGGGGGCCCAAAATGGCCTTCAGTGCCAAATAGAGGGGAATAATCACTACAAATGGCCCTTCTGAAGGGAGCGACGTGGATAAAGCAACCTGACCCCTGACCTGTGAGGACAGCTTCTGGCTTCGGGTCGACTGAAGAAGAACAGGCCTAGCTGTCATCCATCGGGGTGTGGACTCACCCCGTAACCTTTTAGCCTCCCCCAGGCAGGCAGGCTCCAGGCAAGGATGGCAACTAAGCGCCGGGGGCACATCACGAAGAACCAGGGAGGGGAGCGGAGGTTCAAAACGAGCGCGCCGAGGGCGGGGGACACGGAGCAGAGCGCCCAAAGGAGCCTGCGGCTGCTGAAGAAGAGGCGTCCCTCAGCCACCGCGCCCGGGGGCTGCCCGCCGTGCCCTGGCGAGCGAGGCGCTGGGGCGGCCCTGAGCCCCGCTGCCCTTCCCCGTGCCCCGGGCGGGTACTCACTCCTCGTGGCCCTTGCAGAGGAAGAAGAGGGTGCGCCAGGCCTGCGCGGCCGCCAGCAGCAGCGAGAGCAGCCCGGTGAAGACGCCGAAGCGGCAGGCGGAGTCGGGCCCCCACTCCTGCACCGTGAAGCGCTGCCGCTCCACCGTCAGGTTGGCGCTGAGCCACATGCCCTCGGTGAAGAGCAGGCAGCGGCCGTGGAAGTCGTTGCCGTTCTCGGCCAGCGGCACCACCACGATGAAGCTGAAGAGGAAGGCCAGGAAGTAGCAGACGCACTGCGCGAAGAGGAAATTGCTCAGCGCCATGATGCGCGGCCCGGGCCGGCGGGGCGCGGAGCTGCGGCTGCTGCCGCGGGCGGGGAGGGGAGGGGA